TTGAGATCGATGGAGAATCCTTTTTCAATTGTTGTCTTGTATTTTTATTTCCGAAGAAACGCTTCGCAATCAACCATTTTCTAAACTTTCTTGAAAATTATGTATAATGGTATGAACCTTTTGTAATTGCGAAGAAAACGTAACATGAACAATTTTCAATCAGAAATCTACATGGTTATATCAGCAATCGATACATCGACTGATGGAAAGTTTCCAACCGTTAAATTTCAGTCCATCTGGCAGTTAAGATAGTTTACCGCTTGATCACCTCATAATTGAGACGCTTGGTGGTACATTCAAATACTAATACAATCACGGAAGACGTAATTGTCGATGGGTGAAAAAAGAGAGTTTGTCTCTGTTTTTTACTGAAAAATAAATTTTTCAGTAAAAAAATTGTGAGATTATGTAAAACTGAATTAGAATCGATCGAAACAAGTCGAAATGAGACACATCTATAAATAATTCTTACTCACCCAATATGATATCAGATTATTGAAAGATGAGAGGTAAAATTACCGCTTCTGTCATTTATTATCATATTTTATAGGAAAATGGTAATTATATTTGAGCTTAACAAATTTATTATACATTATTTATTATTTATTACTTCCCCACTCATCCAACAGTCGACAAAAGAGCAATATAGAGGATTCCCACATTACTAAATGTCGATGTCTTAGCAAATGTTTTTCTCAATTGTTTAGTTTAGCTATATTCCACTATAGCATGTTAAAAAGTATATTAGACGATTCAATCAGCCAATTTGTGAATCTTCATAAATTAAGGACAATTAAAACTATTCCCATGAAAAAACCGGCCATGTGGTTCCGTGGTGTAGCGGTTATCACGTCTGCTTTACACGCAGAAGGTCGCCAGTTCGATCCCGGCCGGAACCATTTTTTTGTAATATTTAGCGTGGAGTATTCTCGTAATAACTGACAACTGATTATATATAGTAAAGTTTATGAAGCAGTAATTAATAATGCAATATTAGAACATGAGAAACAAAATAAAATAATACCCAACAATTAATACGGCTTCCGCCATCAACATTCCACATTACATGCTGTTAATAAACTTCTCTCTGATATTAATGAGAGCTTGTTTCACCGCAGACTGGTTGCCGCGGTCATCGACATTGTCTTTCGTTATGATTCATTTGATGGGGGTCCTCTTGGGCTGATGGCAACTGAATTCTTCTCCGTCCTGTTCTCCGTCGTACTGTGAAAAAAAAATCTTTATGAAGGGTTTGCGGGAGAATCGCTAAGGTAAATCTGTGGAGAGATAGGTCAAGTACTCTGACAAGAATACCCTTCGTCTACTTGCATAAGAGCGGAATGCAACCAAAGTGCGCTATTCTTGATTTACAACGAAAAAACGTCGCGGAAACGGAAGTCAGTGCGATGGTGTTAGTGGGGGTATCTGACCTGTGCCTCATCACCTCATCTCTTTGTCATCCGATGTCTAATTATATATGTTAACATGTGTTGTCTGAAGACCTGACACACTGCCACGTCCACGTCGTTTGTCCGGGTAAAGCAAAGAGCGGTGAAGGTAAGTGGCATCATAATATCCATTCATGTGACTTATTCTCGAGTTGAAAATATTTCCGATCAATAATGAGATGCACCATAGCATCTAAATATGCAGAAATAATACTGAAAATTGAAGAAAAATGAGGGATGAGGAAAGAGGAAAGGATGAGGATATTCACCAATTATCAGATTAAAATGCGTCACGTAACCCCGAAGACTGCAATTTGATTGATCGAAATCAAAATTGAAGAGATTATCAAATTGAAGCAAACCACGTGACCGAGAATGGTGCTCTCTGATTGGCCGAAAACGGAATTTGAAAAATCATTAGTTCAAACCGCTATTGGTCCAACTGGTGACGTCGAATAGTCCAATTATATTGACTGACGTTATATGATTGAAAAAATCAGCATAAGTGATCATATGTTTGATTACATTTAGGATACGCAGTCTGAATGATGAAAGCAAATTGGTTTCAGATGTTACATGAGTTCAATCTTTCACTCGTTTCGGCAATTTACATTGGCCTGCATGTGCACTTGGATAAAATATGAAAAAATCGATCGTGGCTTGCTTGCATCGCCCTCTTGCGCATACGCCAACTAATGCTGCCGAATTTCCGTGCATCCCGTAAGACCAAATGAGAGGAGTACGATTATACAGAGAGAGAAAGAGGTGCACTCAGTCCTGGGTAATGAAAAAATTTAACTTTTCTACGTCGATGTATCGAAATAGAAAGAAAAGGGGGTAAGAGAGAAAAAAAATGAATTCAACTCAATTGGTGGCGCTACCACACAGTAGTTAAGTTGCGCACATAGGACTCTCTCTGTCTTAGGTGAAACTATGCAAGGTCATGCACTGATAGAAGGATTAGGTTAAGGTTATACAGGCTCGATGACTATTAAATTACGCAGTTAAAAGGCACCAACTGGATCTTATGCAGCCCAGGTTACAGGAACTAATGAACGTCGATCTGCGGAGATAGTAGGGGACTTCAATTTTCCTCCAGAGTTTTCGGCATGACCTTTGGCAATAGACAATCACCTGTATGCATGTACGCACGCACGTGTGTATGTATGAATCAGCCACGAGAGACCTAAGAAGATTCGTCACAGATTTCTCATTCGGTCTGATGATAGGGACGTGACCTCTCCGACTGAATGTTTTGTGTCCATTACATAATTCAATTGTGACGAAAATCCAGAGAACTGATTTGCATTAGTATCCACGAGACAATATAATTCCATCAAGGGTTACAATTTACACGACAAAAAGAAGAACCTTGACTACAGAGACAGGCCCGGTGGCCTGGCGTAGTGGTTAAGGCCGTTGCCTCACAACGAATAGGTTCCAGGTTCAATTCCTGGCCGGGTAGATTGGTAAGATCTAACCAGGTTCAAAAAAGTCTTGATCAATCACCATATAGTCTCCTCCGACTCGAAGCGATGTAAAATAAGCAATAAAAAAAAAAAAAAAAAGACCACAGAGACAGTATGGGGAAAGTTTGCGTTTCTCAGATCCAATTATGTGAATTAGGAGAATTGGGAAACCTCAGGCTACATCAGTTTTCAGCGATGATTAGTAATAAAAATGATGCAAAAATGGTTAGAAATCAGAATCTTTTCTATTCTGTAAGAAAAATCAACCTAGAAAATTTAACACGTCCATTTGTCTACAACGGACCTATCGGGAAATATCCAATAATTTGGAAGCTGTCATGGCATTATAGGTGAAAATACTATACCGCTACTGCATTGATGGAAAAAATAAAAGGGGCCAGGACGTCTACTGGTTACGGTACTGAGTTTGTGTGAAGTGGAGTGGGAGATTGCCAGCGAACCAAAGTCGACTCGAACCAGCCGGAACGGGGAAGAACCTCGTGTGTCTGCCGTCTCTGTCTTTGCTTTTAGTTTGAGCTCGGCAAGCAGTCCGCAAGCTCGTCTCATTTCTACCCGGTGTCGGTAAAATTCCTATAGATGAAATTTACATTACAGCAGTGCATCCACGATTTTGATTTGTAATGATGTGAAAGGGCGGCAGGTCACTATCTCAAAATCAAAGCGTTTCAATAGTATTTAGAACATAAATGGAGTAAGTGATGGAACTTGACTCAATTGAGGCAATTTTTCCATCAAGTACGGTAATTAATACCAATTACTCAATGTGATTATGAATAGAGGATTGAAGCAAAAATTTGAAGGGAACATCTGAGAAGGCCCGGCGGGAGTGCTCGTGCTTGACCTGCTCCTCCAGGTGGTGGACCAGCTAGTGATTGTCTTTGGTGGTTCGTTTGGTGAAAAATTTATCTCTCGGAACTTAAGTTCCAGTGGTATCCTGGTCTTATATACCTCGGTGTTTTAGTCTTCATGCTAGGAGTTCTGAAGCGGCGCTGGAAGCCTTCAAAAAGGTAAGAACTATCGAGATAGTCATTGACTAATCGTTGATTAATTTTTTAATTTCGCCAATTTGATTTTTGAATAAAAGTCCTGATGACAATATCGTGAGCACACTTGGTCGTCACTTCATGCAATTGATCCTGTGACTTACATTCATGTTTATAAAATATACGCGTTCTATAACGGTATTGATCCATACCCGCATTCAATGTTTTTGATATATAACAACTGCGTTCGCTGTGATTTCAAATCGCATTCGATCATTCTCACTGTTCAATCAATTACGTTTTTAAAAAAAAACTGAAACGTGATGCATTTATTATTGTGCCACGTTTGGTGAATTGTTGAACACTGAGAAAGGAATTAAATGAAATACCGAGAGTAAAGTCAAATTTTTTATACGACGTTACTTCGTCGCCTACGTATTTTCTACTCGGAGTTATTGAATTAAGAATCAATGTGACACTGCCGAGGTGATGTCTAAGTTTAGACAGGCTTGTATCCCTTCTAACCGACTTTATCTCTACAGTATGAGGACATAGATTCTCACGGTGGTTCCATTCATGTGAATACGCGTTCTGAACCCAATGAACGTAGCACCAGGTAACAGCGAGATAATTGTCCTGTTGAATATTGATAATTTCCGGACCAGAAAAATCAAATTGCACACGTTATACGTGCTACAGATTTAATTTCATTGTGAATTATTTTTCGCGCATGCACTTGAGAGGTGTAGCATATTCTTTTATATTTCGCCGACGTATATGCGTACTATGTATTTCTATACAATAACAACGCGTTGCGCAGTCGCTGCGTTAGTATATAAATACGCTTATTATGATTAAACCTGCAATTCGCTCATCGAACGAAAAAGCTTTCTGTCTCTACCAGATGTTGATACAAAAATTATTTATAATGTATTAATGTAGTGATTTATCATTATCATAATTGAATAACAAGCCGCCTCTAGCGCGTGTTGTTATAAGGCCGATACTGAACAACAATTAAATGCATCAAAGTCGAATTACTTGACTCCAAATAATATCTGAGTAATGATTAAATTTGTTGCGATAAACGATTTGATTAATTTCGACATTTTTTGGAGAAAATTAACGTTAATATCTTCGCTTTGATCCATTCGACCTCTTATAATTGAAAAAAAAAAATTTTTAATGCAAAAGATACTACAAATTGTTACCGAAATAAAATCCAAATATATTGAACCAGCGAGGCAAACAACAAAAAGGGATTTTAATGAGCCCGAGACTAGAAGGATGATAGTAGCAAATCCCTGCTCATGTGTACACATCAGTTCTTTTCGTACCGCCTAAGGCAAAGTACAATGCTGTGAAACCAACAAAAACGACAAAGAAGGGTGATCTTGAGTATCAGAATAGTATGTGTTTAGTTGTCGTTAAGAAATGCAGGAGGAAATATAGGAGAATATCAAACTGTCACACACGGTTCACCCAAGAATCGAACTGTTTGCGGATTTAATCAATAGAGCAATCGTTGTAATATATTTTAAACGGTTTATTTCACAATAGGCAACCATTTTGTGGATGTTGTGCAAATGTAATTGTAAAATACTCGCGGAATTTCGGTGTAAATAACTCCTTTATTTCTTTTAGATATTTTTTTTTTTTTTCGAAAAGGCAGGAATCGATGTACCAGGTCTCAGCTGTATAAGAACTCACTGGAGTTTTTTTATTTTCAGCTATAAAATATTCCAGTTTGCTGCCTCTTTCTCTGCAATGTTAAATAAGGAGAAAAAATAATACCAGATCATAAAATATGGGAAAAATTTGTATGAGGACAAATAATTATCTTAGAAAAAAAAAGCGAGCAGCGGGCAACTTTAAATCCATTCGTACATGATTTTACATGTTTATATGGTAAATCGCGGTTGATTTAATTTAAATAGTGAAAATCCAAAAATTGAACATGACTCACCTGGCGAATAACAGAACTCAGAAAAGTCCCGTTGTATGACAATCGAAAGTTATATTATACTTTCAAGGATTGGTATTCCAGTACAAATACGTTAAAAAAATTTATTAAAAAAACATCTGCAGAAAAACCAGGTCAAAATAAAATAACCGAAAAATTTAGTCAAAGTGACTCCGTCATAAAAGCTCAAAATACCTCCAGTATTTCGAACTTGCTCCTGAAAAATCGCTCGTGAAAATCATTATCGAAAAAAAAACGGGTTACCACTTTTTGAACATTCATTTGAATCGTTCTATGGAGTCTCATGTGAGCTTTCTGGTTGATAAGTGTGTGTGTGTTTATATACAAGCAGTACTTGTATGAGATCCGACCTGCTGACGGAAAAATTCAGTGATTTTTATGAAGCGACCGTTACAAATCACATGTTTAAATTTAATGGGAAACAAAGAAAATAATGGAAAGCCACTCTGCAAAGTATAAGTACATAACATAATATTTCGAACATAACATAATATTTCGAAAATACCATAGAATATCATAGAAATTTGAATGTGTCTAAAAAAAATAGTTAAGCAGATGCCTGTTAAAGCATAATCAACATTATCAGCAACTATGCCAAGCTGTCTGGGTATCTTACGGCACAATGATAATCAAGAGCCATTATACCCTTCTATTAATATACGCAATATACCAAATTGAAATTCCTTTCAGCGCTCCACATCACTCCACATGTGTTGTGAGACCACCACATGTGGAGTGATGAACGATTAACAGTAAGAAAGTCGTTCTCTTGATCAACGAAGAAAATTAGATTAATGGGGCTTTGTATGGTCACTGAATCAATACAATAAGGGCAAATTTTGAGTATAGAGTTTGAACATTGATTTCATGTATTCATTTTACCGTAAAGGTCATATTCTTTACAGGTTTTTCAAAGTAATCAGTATTTGTGTTATTTTCCACTCCCTCATATTCTCATTCATCAATGAAATTATTTGAAACTTTCTCGTTGAATCCGTTATTTTCTTTGAAATTGATTTTACATAGACTAACTTCATTTTTATTCATTTGATAGAAATATTCAGTGACGAAATCTTCGAACGCTGATGTGGATAATATTTCCAATAATTCAGAGTCGATTACCTTCTAGAACTGGTCATTGTCTATTGGTTTATTGATTACACTGTTAGAAAAACAAGTAAATTACTGTTCTTATGTTACAGCCGACGTTTTGCGCAACACATTAAAAAAAAACTGCAAATTTTTACGTTTTGTTTTGTCAATATACCTGCAGAAATCATTCGTACAAGTTAATTCACGATATCTAGACATATTACTTGTGTCTACAATTGATAGGCTACAGAGAAATTATCAGATTGAAATGTGCCATGTGACCCCGAATACTGTAAGATGATTGGTTGGCATCAGATTCCAGGAAATTGTCAGTAAAAACTGAAATTTCATGATTTTTTCCCCCTAAATTTCATTTAGTGTTATTGTTCCCAAAATGTAAGAATATATCAATTGCTATAAAATTTACAATTCTGTATGATTTTTCCATCAACTTTTGAATTTCCAATACCAATTAGTTACGTCATTTTCATGCTTTATTTTTCATAAATTCATGACAAAATCTCAAAAAAATAAAATCATTACATCTCTATTTGATCTTTCACAGAGTACGCTGTTGTAATTTTACAAAATTTTTAACTCTTTTGATTATTCCACATTGAATTGAGTGAGCACAGAGCATGACGGGGTACGCAAACGCTCGTGGGATTGCAAGCAGAATCCAGACGGGTCCGGAAACCCTCAGACGATGCTGAGTTTGTGTGACACACAACTTGGTGGGTTTTCAAAGTGAATAATTTGTGAAGTGCAGACCCTGGAATGGAACACACACGTGCAGATTCATGCAGAACTATACGCATGGATGACCTTAAACGCGAACCAACGTCCTCTAGTCTTATCTCACAATTGTCTGGACAAAGGGAAAATGGTTAAAGGCTGTAAATGAACCATTGGAGTACCAATCCAACTGCACTAATAGTCCGTTCTGTCGCCAGATTGTACTCCAAGAAAAACGAAATTGCCAATCAATGATTTTCGATATCTCTCTACAGCACATCAGGATGTGGGTAACTCAGAGTATCACTTCCGGTTAATTTCTATGTGAAACAATTGCACTTCAGCTGAATAGGGGAGACTGTCCCTTATATAGTCAAACCATTTTCAAAAGCTGTTCTGTCGTATACTCTGACCAAAGAGGGATGCTCCAGAAAGGAAATACCATAATATCGGTTACGCAGTCGTGGGAGCGAAATTTCCATTTTGAGATACTGTTTCAAATCCAACAGGAAGAATGATGGAACCAGAGGTAACAGATTCTCTCCAAATTTTGTCATAAGAAATCATGAGACGGTTTTACTTGGATAAAATATTTCAGACTTGTTATATTTCTCTGAGGTGTCACTTGATACCCATCCATGGAGAAGGTACTATGGATGATGAGATTCTCCACCGCCCTGAGCACAATTGCAAAAGTTCGCGGTTGGTTAAGTCCCAACTCTGCAATTTCTGCAGTCTCATGCGAGACCTTATATTTTCCCAAGAATCAAGTCGAATATCTTCATGTACAAATCGAACTCACTAAATTCATTTATAGATGAAATAGAAACGGGGGCTATGGAACCAGTACTCAATGTTCCTTCCTGAGTCTAGTTTCACTTTTTCCATGTTACCGAGGTAACATTATCGATTAGGGACGGAGAATCCACCGCGCAGGGAATCTAACCTTACCCAGTTACCCATCACTACAGATACAGAGGAGACGTCTTTGTACCACTGACCTACTACCACCACTGCGAATGCACACCCCCGCTTTTGGGTAGATGTTTCGTTTTAAACCTCCAATCTATATCTGCGCACTTGGACAATTCACTGCACACGAATTAAATTCTTATGCGGGCACAATTAGTCCTCTTCTCTTCTTTTCTACTCTATTTATCCGTCAAAATCATTCGTCATTGTTACTTCCAGAACATAAATTCTACCCGTAAGA